CCCCCCCCCCCTCCTCCTGGATGGGATGCTAGTCCATCGCAGGGTTACCCCCAGCATTAAATTTGCCAGTACCCATTTAATTCTCCTGGGTGAAGAGAGGCACTGTGAGAGTAAAGTGTCTTGCCTAAGAACACAACACAATGTCCCCAGCCAGGGTTCGAACCCAGACCACTCGATCCGGAGTCGAGCGCACTAACTATGAGACCACCGCGCCTCCCACATAATGTAAATTGGCCACCCCGTAATGGGTTTCAAAGCGGACGTTTCAAGTGTTAGCCCTTCTTATTCGCTCTACTGAAGGGCTACCGCTCAAAACGTCAACTTTGAAACCCATGACGGGGTGCCCAATTTACATTATCAACCCAGTTGATAAAAACAAACTACCCTGAAGCAGCAGTAGTCAGATTACATGCCAATGACACCTTGCACCTATGAAGGAATATTCGGTTAGAGCAGTTTTCAACTTGAGTTGATTGACTCGGTTTTGCATTGCTGCGCCTTATGATTGGTCAAGAAAGATCGCTCTGCCCCTTCAACTAATCAGATACCATTCTTTGAACCATTCTTTGGACATTGTAAGAAAGAGTGATATGCACTCCTACAATACGCGCAATAACGATACTATAGAGCTCCCCACAATCAAATACAATTGGGGAAAACATCGCTCGGGGTATCACTGTTTCAAAGACTTTAATGAGTTAGAGAGAACTGTAAGAAACTCAGTAAGTTTGCCAATTTTTAAGAAGTGTCTTTTTTCTGCTTTTTATAATTAAGTATTTTTTTTTTAATTAATTTTTGCAATGTATATGTTGTAATCATTTTTATATTTCGATTTTAGCTCAAATTTCTATATTTTTATTGTATTTTTATATAATACACATCTAGTATTTAGGACCTCTATGTAAACCACTATTGTGATGGAGCTTCCTAATAAAAGATTGTTATTATTATTATGCCGTGTAACAACCCACGCACGACTTGATCACGTGCGTTTTTCTTTGTTTTCACCGAAGGCTGCTTTGCCTTCAAGTTCTGGTTTGTTTACCTTCTCAGTTCATCCTCTGTATCATAATCACTGGCTGAAGTGTCTTTTGGGCTCAAATGAAATGGAGCAATTTCATTTTTTACAACTCTTTTTTCCGGTTGAAGCGATTCGTCGTCAGTTGAACCACCGTAAATGTCATATTTCTCTTCTGTTTTCACGGCTGCATCTTACAAGAATAAGAAAAGAAAAAACAGAAAGCAGATTTGACTGAAGAAGCTGGGGCAATTTCCAACAAAATCTAAAATTTACAACCACCCCATTTTTAATAGTTTTCAATACCTTTTTTTAATGTATGTCTGTGTTTTCGATTCGTTTCAGCATCGCATGTTATTATTATTCAAAGCAGACGTTTGATTCTGATTGGTGAGTGCGCGTCTACATACCTTTCTTTTCATTTGGACCCGAGACTTCCCTTCGTTTGGCCACTGGAGCTTTGTCGCTCTCGGCGGGAGTTTCGTCTTTCTGTGCGTAGACAAATTAGAGTCGTTTTCATTCAGACCAAACGGCACCTATTTCGATTTCATGTTTTAGAGCCAATGGACTGACTGAGGATCCAAATTTTTTGTACCAAACTTGAGCTGCGTTTAATAAGTGTTCACGTGCACGCGACAAGAAAATCACGTGCATCACTAATCGCACCTTTGAATTCGCATCACTTGTTGGAGCCTTCTTTCTGTCACTTCCAGTTTTAGGAGGTGGCCGTTTCGGCGGGAGTTTCGTCTTTCTGACATCTTCTTCACTGCTTTCATCAGATGAACTGCTATCGCCTGGTAAGTGGTAACTTTCAGAAAAAAGGAAGTCGTAAAGAAAGTTTATTCATACATAATTTCTAATCAAGAGAAAAGTTCAATAATAAAAAAACTGGATGGAATAGTCCATAACTGAGCCGAAGCGTTCGGAAACGAACGAACGGCGTCCGAGTTCGAATAGAAGCGTCGGAAATCGGGAAGAAACGTACAAAATCCTTTTGAACACCTGCGCAACACAAACGCAACGTTACAAATAGGACATCTCTCGATTTCTCGACAGAAATTTTCTTAAGAGTCCTAAGTGAAATATGAGGCGCAGGGGCGTAGTTACTTACTGTCGCGTGGGTAAGCGTTTGCTCTTTTTAAAACAGTCTGTTATCCACTTCTTTGTGACGATCCATCCTTTTCCTAACGTTATGTAAAAAAAAATATAGTAGACATTAAATAAATCAAGATAATTTTTTCAGGTTACCTGCAGTTCAAGTTATTGCATAAAAAGAAATTTGAAAAAAATTCAGGCGTCGACAAGGATGGTGCTCTTAGCCCCCCGCCTTCGGTTACTTTCCCGTTACAAAATGTCAGTATACGTGTTCACCATACTGATCTATTTGAAGGCTCGATTACCAGCAGCTAGCCAGCCGCTGTCCAGGAACCGGAACGAGAAAGACTGGACCCGAGAGAGCGGCGGAAATGGAGCCTAACCTCTTTACATATGCATTGGTACTGAGAAGGACAATTCTTTTTTGTCAATCGGGACCTTCTTTTTTGTCAGTGATCATTTTCTTTATTCTCATGACCTCAATGTTGGATTCAGTCGTGATGATCTACGGAGAAATCACATGTTAATCAGATCAGGGGTCAAGGGGTTAACTTCGTATCGAAAACTCCTTTGGCCACTGACACATGCTTGAAATTTAATGCAAGCAACAACTAACCTTTCACTTGGTTGAACTTTGGAGTGTTGGCGAAGGCACAACTACAAAAAGGAAAAAAATGAGGCATTAAAGTTCATTGAATCCCTTCGTGCCACGCAGTGCAGCATGAAAGTTTTGCAGGTCTTACTGTTTGTAGATTTTGAACATTGTCACAGCACGCCTCTTACATGAGATGTGTGCATCCTATTCCCCAGTCCTGTCTGTATTGCGCTCCCATCTGCAATGCTTTTTCGCGAAGATCACCTCGCTCAGGGTTCACAAATCCACTTATAACAAACACCACACCTTTCTTCGAAAGACATACAAACAAAAAAATGCAAGAAGCGATTAGAGCCTAAAGTGAATTGTTTTTGCTGAAAGACAAACGAGCAAAGAGGTGAGATGGATTTTAGAAGCCAAACGTTACCATAATTTCATCAAAAGGAACAGAACTTTCGTCACGAATGGGAGATTCTGAAGAAAAAATTACAAAATAATTACTTATTGCCTGGTGGGCTTGTCATCGTTGTCTCTTTCTAGCAAATACTTGTATTGGCGTCAAAATTAATTCAGTCACGGTCAAAACATTTTGAAAAATCATCCTGTTTATGTGCTTTCACCTCTTTTTTTCTTAGAAGGTGGCGCTGGTTTGTTTCCATTTTTCCCTTCTGGTGAATCTTCATACTTCCGTTTGGTACTCTGAAAGTCAAAAAGAAAGAAAATTTTGATTAGGGCTAGTTATTTCCAAATGGTGGTGAAGGGTTTATTCGTGACGCGTGATCAAGGCCAAAATTAGTATGTGGCTCATGAATTTTACAGAAAAGCGAGCGTGATTCGTGAATTTATCAACCGAAAACCTTGAGGCGTGAGGCGTGATTTGCCTCCTGAAATATACGTGACCCGTGAATTTTAGATTTTCCGGGAAACCTTGTACACGAGAAGAGAAATTTGGCCTTTTCCCTTTTTCAACAGCCGTCCTCAGGCACGGAAAACGTGATTAATCAAGTCGAAATTTGTTCTGAAGCTAACTGAATGAAAAATTGGTGCATTTAAAAAATTGACCTGAAGTTCAAGTTTGAAGTTCATTTATTTGTTTTAGCAGGTTGATTAATTTGGCAGCTGTAATAGCTGAACA